TGCCTCTTCAGATTTCAACTGGCCTTGGGCAATTGTGTAAAATAAGGCAAGCGTAAAAAGAGTCTAGCAACACAGGCAACAGAATGAAGCTCACTGTTTAACTGATATGTACATATATATGTGTGTGCGCATAGGTGGGTGGGTGGGGGGAAGAGAGAGAGAGCGAGAGCGAGTTTAATACATGAAGAAACTCTGTGATAAAACAGAAAAGACTGGGAAAAATGGGTGTGGAGTAGGAAAATGGCACCAAAAAGCTCAAGTGTGTCACTGGGCAGATGCAGTGCCACTTTTTGTGCTGTCTTGCAATATCAGCAGTGGAATCACTATTTTAAACCAGAAGTTATAGTCATTAAGCACGACAAATTCAGACTTAGTTGTGATATCCTGAGATGTGCACAGATAACCATTCTTTAGTGACAAGGCCAGAATAAAGATGGAATCGTCTCGCTGCACACCCAGCCAGCTTGACAGGCTGAACTGCTCTTCCTCATTCCTGTTTATACTTAATAACATAAGGCTCAACTCTGTCTACACACACACTTCTAGATCATGTTCAGACAAGGGCATTCTGGAAATTTTTGCATCTGCAGCACAGCTTCTGCATAAAACTGGCAACACTGCCAGATTAGGATTATACTAAGAGCCTTCTTGCTCTGCATGACTCAACTGAACAAGTACTACCCATGAATCCTTAACAGGTGAGCACACTGGAGTTCAATTAAATTCATAGTAAACTCCCAAATATCCTGTAGGGTTGGAGGACATGGTAGAGATAGGGAGGGAGTCAGGCCATGGTGGATTTTTAACAAGGATAAGAATTTTAGAATTGGGGCAATGTTTAATCAGGAGCCAAAGCAGATCTAGGAGCACAGAGGTGAAAGGGAAATGGGACTCAGAGTGAGGTCATGGGCAGGGAGTTTTCGATAACATCATATTTAGAGAGAGTCAGTGGTGGGTGGCTGACCACAGGTATGTTGAAAGCTCAAATGGTAAAGGAAACAAGGGCATGACTGAAGGCTGAGACAGGGTGGAGATGGATAACTGTACATGGGAGAGATAGGTGACACTGGTGTTGGCAGGGATATATGGTTGGAACTCGTCTCTGGGTCAAATATAACACCGATGCTGCAAACAGTTTAGTTTCACAGCCTTAGGATGCCTTACAACACTTTACATCCAATGCTTTATTTATGAAGTTTAGTAACTGTTGTAATGTAGGTTATGCATAGCAAGCTCCCAAAAATATCTTAGATATATTGCCCAAGTTATTATTATTTTTAAAAATGTTATTGATTGTGGGATAAATATCAGCCAGGATAGCTCTTTATATATTTTGTCATTAATTCTTTTATGTCCATCTGAGAGGGCAGAGGGACCTTTAGTTTGATGTCTCATTCTGACTATGCAGTACTCCCTCAGTCTTCCACTGACATGTCAGCCTGGATTCTGTGCTCACTGCCACAGAACTTTACTTTTTCATAAACTGTCCCATCTAGGAGTGCTCCTTCCTAGTGCTGGGCATCAAATATGGACAACATGAACCAATCCCTCTTCCAGAAAATTTTCTAAATTATATATCAAATAGTTTGAACGTTAATTATCTCTACTGCTTCATTATCAAACAGCTTTCAGTAGCCAATTGGACTTGCTAGCTTGGGCCACTAACCACAGTGAGTAATATAGTTCAAGAAATGTAAGCTGAAGCTCAGGAAGTGACTCAACATAGCTTGTAGATTGACGTCACTTGTTACGGGAATTGCATCAACTTTGGGGTTTTGAATAATTTCTAGGAAAGCCTTCAACCAAACCATCATGTGTAGGATATTACTGTCAGCACTGCTTTCTATCCTGTGGTTTGAGTTATTGTTTAAGATGCAAAATATTTATCTCACTGATGTCCCAGAGACAATACCATGTCACCACTCATTGGGCTGACACGCTGGGAATCAAGCCCTGCTATTTCTCATGTAGTCTCAAAAGTTACACATTTTAAAAAGTATGTAGAAGTCCCCAACTTAGCTGTTCTTTAGACTTCAGTGGATAGGATGCATGGACTAGGTTACTGTACTTCACAAGGGTTACTTTTTATTACAAATACATAGATTCTAGCTAGAGATAAACAATTATGAATTGCCGACATGTAACTCTAGCCCAGCCGGCTAGTTTGCGATGTAGAGAGACACCAGCTGCGTGAGGTCACTTTCTGCACCAGCTGATGTTACTATGAAGGACTCTACTTCCCAGTCTCTCACCTGATCTTTGGAATTCTGCTCTTTTTTCCATGTTTGAACCGAGGCAGGAATGAGGTCAGGAGCTGAGTGGCCCAGGAGGAAATCAAACTGGGCATCAATGAGCAGGTTATTGCTGCTTGATAGCACTGTTGATAACACCTTCTGTCACTTTAATGATGATCAAGAGTAGAATGGTGGGATGGTAATAAGCTGGTTTGGATTTGTCCTGCTTTTTGTGCATAGGACACATCTAGCCAAACTTCCACATCGGGTTGATGCCAGTGTTGCAGCTGCACTGGAACAGCTTGGGTAGGGAGGTGGCAATTTCTGGAGTGCACGTCTTCAATTCTATTGTCAGAACCTTTAGACTTTGCAGTGTCCAGAGTCTTCAACTACTTCTTGAATCATATGGAGGGGATCAAAATTGTCTGAAGATTGGCATCTGTAATTCTAGGGACCACTGGAAGAGGCAGAGATAGATCATCCACTCCACACTTCTGGCTGAAGATCGCTTATCTTTTGCACTGATGTGTTGGGTCCCTCTATCATTGAAGAAAGGGATATTTGTGCAGCTGCCTCCTCCTCCTCCAGTGAGTTGTTTAATTGACCACCACCATGCACAACTAGATGTGATAGAACTGCAGAACTTAGGTCTGGTATGTTCATTGTGGAAAAGCTTAGCTTTTATGCTGCTGATACTGTTTGGCACACAAGTAATCCTTGTTTTGTAGCTTCACCAGGTTGACACTTCACTTTCAGGTACACTGGGTGCTGCTCTTGGCATGTCCTCCTGCACTCTTCTTTGAGCCAGGGGTTGATCCCTTGGCTTGATAGTAACTGTGGCTAGGGGGTCATTCTGGGCTATGAGGCTGCAGTTTGTGTTTGAGTTTAATTCTGCAGCTGCTGATGGCCCACTGTGCTTCATGGATGCCCAGTCTTTAGCTGTTAGGTCTGCTTTAAGTCTGTCCCATTCATAGTGTTATAGAGCTCCACATGATGGAGCGCACCCATGATGTGAAGACCGATTCGTCTGCACTGGCTCTCTGAATGAGCAATTTAACGAGTGCCACTCCCCCAGTTTATCTCCTTGTAATCCCGCACATTCTTCTTTTGCAGATAGTAATCTAACTCCCTCTGAAGTGCCTTGAATGAACATGCCTCAACCACACTCAGGCACTGCGTTGCAGATCCTAACCCTTCACTGCACGAAAACTTAAAGTCACAGAGTCATACAGCACAGAAACAGACCCTTTCGGCCAACCAGTCCATGCTGTCCGTAATCCTAAACAAAACTACTTTCATCTGCCTGCATTTGGCCCTTAGCCCTCCAAACATTTCTTATTTGCGTACTTATCCAAATGTCTTTTAAACATTGTACCCACATCCATCACTTCCTTTGGAAGTTCATTCCACACATGACCCACTGTGTAAATAAATTGCCCCTATGTCTTTTTTTAGATTTTTCTTTCATTATCTCGCCCTTGTTTTGTTTGCCAATTTCTTTAAAATCGAGTCCTTATGTTCTCCATCCCTCCATACATGGGAACAATTTTTTTCCCATACCTATTGTGCCAATGCCAGGCCCATTGTGGGCTCTGGATACTTCAAGTCAAATCTCCCCTTCTCTAAGGAAAACCACCCCAGCTTCTTCAATCAAAGAAAAGTGAAGCTCCTCATCGCTAGAAATCCCTTAACAAATTTTTTCTGCACCTGCTCTAATGCCAATCATTAGTAGAGCCATAGTTTTACAGCGGCTCTTTGGTCCGCTATGTTTGGTCCAGTGATCAAGCACCTATCTACTCTAGTCCTACTTTCCAGAACTTGTAGATACTACTTTCAATCCATTCAGACATGTTATGACACAGAAAAACAGAAATTGCTATAGAAACCCAGGAGGTCTGGCAGTACCTGAGGGGAGAAAACAAAGTTAACATTTGTTTGTACTGAAGGGCGACAGGACTCAAAATGTTAAGTCTATTTTCACTCCATGGTGCGGTCAGACCTGTTGAATTTCTCCAGCAATTTATGTTTAGACATCCAGCATCCGCAGCTCTTTGGTTTATGTTGTGACACAACACTGGGGCAGGTGGGCCTTGAATACAGGTATTCTGGCCCAGAGGTAGGGATACTACCACTGCACCATAAAGGCTCTCACCCACAACCCTTGACAGTTGGAACAGTCCAAACCATGTGGATAGTTTCTACTCACTGATGCTGCTACACACGTCTGGACTCGAGCCTGGCCCTCCTGGTTCAGAGGTAGGGATGCTACCACTGCGCCACAGGGGCCTTGTATGCTCTGGCGCTTTAAGCGATCATCTAAGTGTTTTTTTTAATACTGTGATGGCTCAGTCTGAGTGAGAAGGTGACATTTTTGGTCTTCCTTGAGGAAGGAGCCTTCTCATTGAAAGCAGAGTCAGTGTGACCTCCTGCCCTTTGAAGCAGGCCTTTCCCTGACACTGACACACTTACCTTAACCATGGCCAGGCTCGGCCTGCCAGCACCGCGATCACCTCCAGCTCTCTTCCCTTCCCCTCCAAACTCTTCTGGACCCTTCGAAGCGGCGTTTCCTCTCCCCCCCATGTGCCGTTACTCCTCGCCGCCCATTACCCGCCGCGGCACACTTCGTTTCCCATCTCCCTCCAGCGCAGGGAGGCCAGTCCTTAGAATGCGACCTCCCGCCCGCTGGTCGCGCTGTGACCTCGGTCCTCCCAGCGGTGGGAAGCGAAGTTGTAACCTCTTGTCCCTCCGGTGAACTCGTCGGTGCCTGGCCAAACAGAAATGCGCAGGCGCGCTAACGGAATCCGGTGGATGGATGAGGAGCGGCGGGAAAATTTGAGTTGTTTATACGGAGAGTAATAACAATAACAATTTCCGATCAGGCGCGGATGAGGTGGATCACGCTTTAGGATAGTATCTCGACAACGTACTGATAGTGAGAGGTGAGAATTGGGCTGGGGTGTACCCCTGCTCGCTCTCTTTCGTTTACCTCAGTGAAGCCTGAGGCCTACCAGCTGCGGTCTCGGACTATGGAGGGACCACATTCCTGGTGTCTCTCTCTCTCTCTCTCTCTGTGTGTGTGTGTGTGTGTGTGTGTGTAAGTGTAAAAAGAAGTATATATTATGTATATGTGAGACAGCCCCCTCCTGCTTGAATTGCTTCACATTTGCCGTGCTCGAGCTCCTGCCCAGTCTGATTTCCCGCCCTTTTTGCGGAAGGTCACGTGCGGGTGGCCGAGGCCACTCGGCCCCTCCAGCCCAGTCCGCTCTTCGGTCGAACAGTTGCCGATCTACTGTGTGGCCCTAAATCCACTTCCCTGTTGGCATGTTCAAGAACGGGAGCAGTTTTACTCCGCCCAAAACCGTCTCAGTTTTGGAAGTCTCCGTCAACAAACCTCATTTTGGTCTTTTCCTACCACGACCCAAAAAACTCTTTAAAAAAAAGTTGAGTTTAATGATCATAAAATCACTGTCGATTGTCGGGAAAAGAACTATCTGTTTCACTAATGTCCTTCATGGAAGGAAATCTGCTGTCCTTTAATTGAGCCTTACTCTGGGCGCAGTTTCTAATCGAACTGTTTACAGATGTTATTACACACCTCTGGAGAGGGTGGGACTTGAACCTGCATCTACTGGCTCATATGTTGGGACACTGCTACATCAACTCTGGGCAATTGGGGATTGGCAATAAAGACTGACTTGCCAGCAAAACCCACATTGTGTAAATGAGTTCTTTTTTAAGAAATCTTTATAATTGCCAGAAGTACATTTTGCAGGTTTTTTGGTTTGATCCTCTTGCCAGCCAAAGAGAACACTCCTCATGTGGTTTTTCCCTTTGATTTGGTAATCGTTAAATTTGTCCTGATGAGTGCAAGACAAAAAACATTTGATTTTTTTTTTGCAGCAACAAATTTGTACTAGCAAATGACCGTTCCCAATGCTTGCTGAAGTTTGTCATCTCTAAAGCCAGTCTTGTGAATGTTCTCTGCAGTGCCTTCATATCTTGCATAAGGGACAGTTTCAGAACTGAATGTTACTCCAATTGAAACCAATCATTGTTCCTATAAAGATTCATTATAACACCTTGGATTTGTTATCATTAATGCTAATTATAAAGCTTGGATCCTGTTGACTAACTCAGCTGTTTTCCTGTCTGAAATGGCTATGCAGAGCATTTAAGTTCTCCATTTGTCTTGTAAGCATGGAAGACTATTGACATCTCTTTTCATCCCTCATTAACCAGTGATACATCTCATCTGGTTCCAGTCACTTATTAACTTTAAGGACTAACCTCATCGTTTTAACAGTTTATTTAGCTCTTTTAGTGTTTTGATTGCTTCCTTTTTCTCATGACATTGGCAGAAATGTTTGTTTCCTAGTTGGAATGGAACATTGATGAGGAATATTCTCCTGAACATACTTGTTTATAACCCTACACCCCACCACCAACACCTCTGTCCTTTCACTATCAAAGACTCCTCTGTGGAAGGGTTACTGGAGTTGAAACATTAACTCTGCTTTCCCTCCACAGATCCTGTCAGAGCTCCCTAACTCCCCACCTACACTCACCTTTACTGGCTCCATCCCCGCCTCTTCGACCTGTCTGTTTCCTCTCCACCCATCTTTATCCGCCTCCACCCCCCCCCCTTTTTTTTTCAAAACCCCCTTCCCCTCCCCTCCCATTTCTGATGAAGGGTCTAGGCCCGAAACGTCAGCCTTTTTGCTCCTATGATGCTGCTTGGCCTGCTGTGTTCATCCAGCTCTGCACCTTGTTGTCTCCTGTCAGAGCTGCTCAGTTTGTCCAGTGATTTCTGTTTTTGTTTCTGATTTCAGTTTTGTTTTATATTACTGTCAAAGACTGTTAGGATAATTAACACCCCCATTATTGATATAACATTTTGCAGTTTTTGGTAATGTCCTTGCAAACTTGCTCATCCGAATCATTGGTAGAAAATACTCAGGATAATAATGTTTCTTCTGATGTCTTGGACTCAGTGTTAACTCTTTCTTTGCCTCTACACAGTTGCTGCCAGGTCTGTTGGATTTTTCCTGTACTTGGTTTTAACCACAGTAGATTCTGCCCTTGATATATCTCTCTCTTTCTTTATTCTCTTTTTTCCCCCAGCATAATGTCATTTTTAATAAATTTATGCAGCAGTACCTTGTTCCTTCCCTATCTTTTGTGAGCATTCTGTATTCTGGAATATTTAGTACTCAATGTTATTCTTTTCTTCACCTGGGTATCTCATCCTCACAACATCTTGATGCAGTCTGTGCCTACAGCTCATCAATGTCATTCAACATGTCATATATTTACATATATGTGCTGTAAGTCTCGTTTAAATTTTATTGCATTTCCTTGAATTTCTTAACCATACCATTTCTTGTATTGGTGCCACTTCCTCATCCAAATATGAAAAAAAGACTAAGTCTAATCTAAATCCTGAGAATGCACTGTCTGGTTTGAGGGAATGTTATTTCAAGTGTTGAGGAAAATCCGTGTTTTTTCCTGTTAAAGGAAACATTGTCAATAAAGTGAGTGCATTTTTTTTAACCACTTGTCACTTTTTTTTGTTTTGATTTTAGAAATGTTGGCTTTTTTGTTAATGTATTGTTTCTGCTTGGGATTAATGCAGACATACAGCATACCACTTTGCCGTTGGATATTTTAAAACTCCATTCATTCAGACCCCAGAACAGATTGTAATGCACTAACCACTATGAGTGGTGGGAAAGTATTTGTAGAGACTTTAAGGAGAATTGCTTATCATAAAGCCAGTCAACTGAATGGAGAGAATTTTGATTGGTGGTTTGACATTGGAGATGAAAAGAAGTTGATCGAATGGTTTTGCCATAATATAAATGAACAGAATGTATTGACTGAAGAAGAGTTGACTGAGTTCAAAAGCCTTGGACCAAAACATCGCCTGAGCCAGAAAGACTTGGATAAGGTCTTGGCAACCTGTCCTAAGGGAGCAGAGTCCAGACATGGCAACCTGCCAGTAATGACGGTTGAGAAATTGGAAGAGGAGGTTAAGGAGCTACAGCTGATTCGCAATCTTAAAATCCAGCGACGGAATAAGCAGCAATTGATGGCATCAGGAATACATCATATGCCAATGAGATTAAAGGACGAGGAGGAAGAATGTACCAAATTGTTGAGAGACACCCAAGAACAATTGGTTGCTGAAAATGCTAAATTGAATTTTACTCTCTCAAAGGTATTTGAAGAAGTTCAGCAGCTTACTGCCATATATTCAACCACTGGGTCAGAAAGGCGACCTGGGCAACAGACCATATTTTTGTCACAACTGTCACTGGATAACTATCTGCAGCAGGAAGAGCAATGCACAGCAGCTCTTACTGAATATACAAAGAAACAGCTTTTTAAAGGCATAACTGAACTAGTTGAGAGCTCCGACATTGAAAAATTTCAGCTGGTGGACATAACTTCTCAATCCTTACAGGGAGAATGCAATGAGATACGCACAGACTACCGACAACAAATGGCTAGAATTCAAGCAGCATACAACAGTGGTCAGCGACAGTTAATTTTAGCAAAAGCAAAAGAACAGAGCACCAAGGCTAGACTGCAGCATATGGAGCAAATAATCTCCTTGATGCGAAACAGAAAGGTAAGCTAGTTTTTCAGTATCAAAAAATGTGATTTTTATGCCCCTTCTCTTATTTTGAAGGCCCACATTTGCCCAAATCTTTCTCAGTTTCACTTAAAATGTAACTGGCTGTCTTTTAAGGCATTTGCCACTGGAATCATGAAATCTAGAGCAGAGTAAGGATGGTGGATTTCCTTTTGAAGATGGCATGAGTGAATGAATTGGAGGTTTACATAATCTAGCAACTTCATGATTATTTCAAATTGTTTAAGTTTCAAATTTCTTCTCCCCTCTGCATTTTTTTTAAAAACAAAACTATGTTGGGATTTGGACTTGTATTGGACAAGGGGGAGATGATCTACAGTCATAATGTCAAGCAATTCGGAGTCCTAGGCTCATGCTCTAGGATACTATCGTTCAAATCCCAACACCAGAAGTTGGTAGAATTTACATTGTTAGTAAAAAAAAAAAAAAAAAAATTTAGAATCAAAAGCATTTCAGAAATGGTGACCATAAAAGCAGTAATTATAAAAACCCACCTATAATATTAATGGCCTTTTTAGGTAAGGAAATCTACCCATCTTTACATGGTCTGACCCACCTGTGACTCCAGACATAAATGTGATTGGCTTGCTAGGCTACTTCAGAGGCATTCAGTTCAAGGACAGCTGAGGATGAGCAACAGTTATTGGACCAGTCTATGACAACCTGCATCCCATGAAAGAACTTTGGGGAAAGATTTTCTGGAAATTAGTTTCTAAAGGGATTTCTCACCTTTACCATCTTGTGAAATGTTTGATCGAATACTTAACAAAACTGTTGCAACATTTGTGTACTATTGCAAAGAAGTTTAATTGGCTGTCTGGCTTTGTTTCCTCACCAAAAAATATTTGAAGTAGTCAAATATAAGGTGCATGGAAGTAAGTGAACAGGCAACATGCATATTAAAGTTGCTAAGGATAGAAAATAATGAATGGTTGGTTGTTTTATCAGACTGGAAAGAAGTGAGCAGTAGTGACTGACAGAGGCTAGTATTGTGGTATGACACGGAACTTGGAAATGGAGTAAGCGCTGAAGTGAATAATAACAAACCATGGGAGATGCAAACTCGTGAAATGGCAGCTGAAATTACACAAGTTTTAATGTGACTTGATTTGTAGATTAAATGAGACAAATCCAATTGGTACAATTTTAAAGGGGATGAAGGATTGTTTGTATGTATGTATGAGTGGATGTATGTACACGTTCTTAAAGGTAACAAGACCAGTTGAGAAGGCCCTTAATGAAGTCAAGGATACTGTATGTTTTTTTAATTGAGAAATGGAATACAAAAGTGGGAAATTATAAAGATTTAATTATAAAACTTCTAGTAAATATGATGAGCTGAATGGCCCCCACCTGTGCCATAACTTTTATGTTGCTCTATCATTGTTTAGACCACAGCAGGGGTGTTGTATGTTTGCCTGAATTGAATATTATAGGGAGGATGTCAGGGAGACAGTTTCTTTTGCGAAGCCCTTTAAATCTGAGGTAAACATGAGATTTTATCTTTACACATACTTGTTATCTTCTATCCTTTTTGCACTCCAAACTCTGACCTGTGTCTTGCAAATTGGTGATTGCATTCTTACAGTGCCTTACTTATAATGCAAAATGTTAGTATTTGTTTATTTTTATGTGATCATCTGTTACTTGTATTCAGTTTTCTGTTGAACATTAATCGAGCTGGAGTAGTTCGTGGAGACTGCTTTGCTATTCAACATGTTGATCTTCACTTTCAACCCCATTTTCCTGCCTGCACTGTTTTATTCCTTTGTCTGAGACCAAAACTCAATGCCTCACCCTTTAATATTTTGGTACAAAGCATTCAGGATATGGAATTCTAAAGGTTTGCGATTCTTTGAAGAATTCCTCTTCTTGTCTTGGTCCTAATTGATTGACCCATTACGTGGATTACCCTTGTGTTGCAAATACTCCTGCTTTCTTGTGTCTACCCATATTCTCTGGAGTGTATGAAAGGTGATTTCACTGAAACGTAAAAGAGGCTGAAGGATCTTGACAAGGTTCTTTTAATTTAAAAACAAATTCACTATGGAAGTTGTTTGCTGGACTAGCATTTATTACCCATCTCTCTGTTGCTGGTGAGTGAAATTTTAAAAAAAAAAGCAACAGGCAAGAACTAAGAACTGGCCTGTCCTGCTGCTTCCATTTGCCTTTGTTTTTGTTTATTTGTTCATGGGATGAGGGTGCCGCTGTCTAGGCAGCATTTATTGCCCATCCCTAATTGCCCAGAGGGCAGTTCAGAGTCAACCACGTTATTGTGGGTCTGGAGTCACATGTAGGCCAGACCAGGGAAGGAGAACAGTTTCCTTCCCTAAAGGACATTAGTGAACCAGATAGGTTTTTCTGACAATTGGCAATGGATTCATGGCCACCATTAGATTCTTAATTCCAAATTTAAAAAAAAATTGAATTCAAATTCCACCATCTGTCATGGCAGGATTCGAACCCAGGTCCCCAGAATGTTATCTCGGTCTCTGGACTAACAGTCCAGTGATAATACCATTACACCATCGAATAGCAGTCTTAGATTGCCAACTTCCAATCTCTTCGGGTTGTTCTCGAGTCTAGGGAACTTTGAAATATCATGACCAGCATATTCCGCCTCTCTGTAGCTATCTCATTTAAAACCTTAGAATGTATGAAATCAGGTCTCGGATCAGTACTGCTATGGTGTAGCTACATCACAGGAACTGCAGTGATTCACAAATGTGTTGTATCACTTCCTTAAGTTGATGCCAGTGATGCTCACATCCATGAAAGGATTTAAACAAAAGCTCTTTAATTTGTCAGATTTAGTTCCTTGAGTTTCGTGAAGACTCTTTGAATTATTTTAAATTATTTTCATTCCTGTTTGCCCCAATGTTTTTGTATTATTTGTCTCCTAATATGATTGATGTTGGATATCACTGATACTGTTTATACAAGAGTAAGTTGGAGGCTAGGAATACTGTGGTAAGTAATTCATCTGTGTGTCCACCATCTATAAGACAGAAGTCAGGAGTGTGATGGAATACCCTCCACTTGCTCGGATGAGTGCAGCTCCAACAACACTTGAAATTTGGCACATAGAGGATAAAGCAATCCAGTTGATGGGCAACAAATCCCCAAACGCTCACATCACCATCACTCAGTAGCATCAGTGTGCACTATCCACAAAATCCATTGCAGAAATTCACCTAACGTTCCCTAGACAGTAGTTTCTAAACCCATGACCATTATCACCTAGATGGACAAGGTAGCTGGTACATGGAAACATCACTCTCTGTGTTGCCCTCCAAGACACCTCCCCTCCTGAGTTGAAAATGTACTGAAGGAATGGCAATATTTGCTTGGTCAGAATCCTCAAACTCAAATTCTGATCGCTATGCCAAATGGACTGCAGCAGTTCAAGAAGGCAGCTCACCAACAACTTCTTGGTAATTACAGATTGGCAGTAAATGCCAATGAAACCTATGTCCCCTGAATGAATAGGAAAACCAAACAAAATTTCAGTAAACTAGTTTGGCTTTTGCAGCAGTTAGCTTTGTGGTCCCATGTCCTTTATTTATTTTCTTAGTACCTGTCTCGTTCTGGTGGGGTTGGCAATTGGCATGAAAACATTTTCTTTTGATTCCAATCCTTGTCGACAAAAGAACAGGGACTTGTAAACTTTAGTCTTCTGTTGAGATGTAGAGAGTGTTTTTCTGGAGTTAGCACCCTCTGCTGCTTAAATGAATCTATTGTAAACATTTGACAAGAATAGAATTCAGCCACTGTTTGTTATCTCCTTACTTAGCTTTTGTATTTGTCACTTCGAGTTTATTTCTGTTTGTCCTCATATCTGCATTTCCGCCTTTTTGACATGGAGTGAGTCATTGAAACAACAGCAATAGTATACTTTTTCACTCAGCATAGACATTGGTGTAATTGTAACAGAATGATAAAAATGAGACCTTCTGAATTATGCACACCCAGCAGTTAGTGGTTTGAGGAGGAACATTGCCCTGGCAATGTCATAGCTTCCTACAAAACACCCTACTCGGGCAAGGAATTTTACAAGGATGTTATAAATAAATGCATTAAAGAATGCTTTGAGGAAAGTTTGAGGTGTTACAGCTAAGATGACTTTTTTTTTAAAAATTGTATTTGAAACGTTTCAGCAGAGCAATTTAAATAGTTGTGTTCTATTTGGATAACTGAAATTTTCCTGCAACTCGTAGTCCTAGTTTAGTTCAAAATCAGCAATCTGCCAAGTAGTGGTTGTCATTAGGGTACCTAGCCTTACCACAGAGAGAGAGTGATTAAGACAGTTCATGTGGTTCTTGTTGTGAGGTAGGTTACAGTCTCAATTTTGATACTGTAAGTTGATGGTTGCTAAGCTGAATTTAGCACTGTCTTCACTGTTGATTTAAAAGTAAGTATTGGAGTAGAGCAAGAGACAATTGCCCAATATCAGGGAAGAGTAGCTTTTTTGACCAAATATACTTACAACTCTCGATTTTTATGTTCCATCTGTGGCTTCACGAGTTTGTGTGACTTTGTTTTACATCCCCCTTCAGTAAGCCATGTTTCCTGTTCAGATCGAGATGGTGAGCCTTAGTAAACTTGTTGACAATGAAGGCAGTCTTTGGGCCTCGCTGCCTTCTTGCCTAAGCAGCTGCTTTGAGCTGTGGCCGATACAGAGCTTGTAGGAGCCAGGAAAATGTATTAACTATTTCTGCTTTTTTTTTTCTCTGCCCTTATATTTTTTCCCTAGTCCCAAGTGTTGAGTTTGATTTATAGTATTCCACGGAGATCCAATTGGATAAGGACAGGCTAGGAGCTGCTTGTTTTGAAGCCTATTGGCTTATAGGTGACAACAAGGTGCAGGGCCTTATGAACACAGGCCAAGCAGCATCACAGGAGCAGAAAGGCTGACATTTCGGGCCTAGACCCTTCATCAGAAAAGGGGGAGGGGAAGGGGGTTCTGAAATAAATAGGGAGAGAGTGGGAGGCAGATAGAAGATGGATAGAGGAGAGGATGTGGAGAGAGACAGACAGGTCAAAGAGGCGGGGATGGAGCCAGTAAAGGTGAGTGTAGGTGGGGAGTTAGGGAGGGGATAGGTCAGTCCAGGGAGGACGGACAGGTCAAGGG